ATCTCTGGGCTGCCCACAGCCTCACGCCATAAAGCAAAGAGATGTCTGCTGATAAACAGGAGCACAAATCAAGACCTCCTTTGTCATGGCCCCAAACGTTAGGTATTTGTGGCACAATGGGCATGGATGCTCATTTGCTTAGCCTTTGGGCCACCATAAAAATAAAAAAAAAAAGATGGCAATACAAAGGGTACAAAAGGTAACGTGTGCTTCCATCCTAAAATGATTCTAGACACTCACTCGTCTTTCACAAATCTATTACACCCTGGTTTCCTATTCAGTGCTGGTCAATGCAGTAAGTCCCCATCCTAAATAAATATTCTTCTTGTAAGTGTGTTTTAGTGGCATCTGTATTGTACTGCATGATGCATATACATCTTATTAACATTTGGGTGCATCTGGCAAACTTTCTGAAAGCCTCTAGGATGGGTCTCAAAGTCCCAAGTTTTCACTGGGCTCCATAGGCAACGCATGCCTCCTGAGGCTGGGGTGGGGCACAGCAACTGCCTGCAAGTGGTGACGAGAGTGTCAGCAGCAAGGCTTGGGCTGAGCAGGGACCATCTGCAGGCAGCTGTGATGGTGTTGGTGGCAGAGTCGGGGAGTCCCCCCTGTGGCCAGACGGCAAGCCTGGAAGTGCCAGCGGCACCTCTCAAGAGGGGCACCACCACTCTGCCTGCCCCCCGCCCATCATGTAAGCCAAGAGTGCTCACTCTCAGGAGGGGCACCAGCACTTTCAGAGGGTGCACGTGCACCCCCGTGTCCCCTATGTGCTGCCTATGCTGGACTCTGGTTTTTTTGTGAAGTATTTCTGAGTTCTAAAAGACGCTCTATTTCTATAGCAAAAAATACTCAGCTAGGAGTAATCTAAGCATTTTTAGAGTTATCATTTAACATGGTTTTATTACAAGCCTGATTTTTTTTTCCTCAAAGTCCCCAACGGTAGAGTGAAAATCATGCTTGTAACAAATTCATGTTTTGTTTTTCTTTTTTAAATGCAAGTCCTCAGTCCTTAAGGGTGTGGAGAAAACTTGACACAAATCCATGAATACTGGAGGTCTCAAAGCCATTAGGAAAAGAAAAGGAAACCCAAAGGTTTCAAGGAAATACTATAAAGGGTGTGAGATGGAGAAGGGAATTTCATCTTATAATGTTATGGCTCTTTGGCTAGGGACAGAGATTACACAAACTGGTATAAGTGATTGGAAACCAGTTCGAATCTGTAACACAGCACAAGTTCAGTGCAAATAAACTGCTTTGAAAATGGCCCAAACTAGTTTAAGATAAACCTGGAGGGATGTAGTATCAGCCTTCACTGATCAGTTTATTGAACTTCTGTCCCAGATCCCCTCCAGATTCACATTAACTCACAGTACCCCAGCATCCCAGGATGCTTTGCACCTCCCCTACAAATCCCTCCTCCTCTCGCAGGGTGGGAGGGCTAGCTTTGGCTCAAGCTGTCTGCTCCAACAGAGCAGGGAGATGTGCTCTAGCACTGCCTAGCAACTTGCTTGGGCTACTGCAGGCATGTGGCTGCATTTCCAGAATCAAAAGTGAATGTCTGTTCACTTGCTTATCGGTTCAGTCTATGCAACTTAAACTAATCTGCAAAGCTTGAACTGATTCAGCCTTGGGCTTTTTGACTGTCTGTACTTAGCCTTTAGGTTGGTAATGCTGTCTTAAATAATGTTGTATAATTAAAATACGCAATGTTTCCACTTCCCCCATCAATATATTTGCTCAGACAGGTCACTGACAACAGAATAAAAGGAATGTCACAAATTGTTTAAGCTTAAACTTTTGCCTCATTACATGGTGCTCCCCCATAGGCTGTAGGAATTAATGATGAAACACTTCCAAGGAAATCTTAGGAGGAATCTTTTAAAGAAGTCTTAGCAGCTTAAATACCCCCTGCCTTGATGTTAGTCCTGTACAGCTATCAGACTCCTGTCTGGATTGCATTAACCCCATGCAAGTCAGTTGTTAATCCTATAACCACACAGCATGTTTTGCTTACATCCCACTTATGACAGGCATATATAAATGTTAGGAGGAAGGAAATGGTAAGAGCACCTTCAATGAAATGAAGACAAAGGAGATGAAGGAAGTAGTTTTATCCTCTTCCTGGCTAATATGATCATTCTTTTGGCTTAAGTGCAGAACAGCATTATATTATTACTATTATTATTATTATTATTATTATTATTATTATTATAGGAAGTTAAGGTTTAAATGTGGCTATGCTGCCCAGACTGCCTATGCAGAACACTTTGGCTAAACCAGAGGCCCTTGATGTAATTGGAAAGACTCCAAATAAACTCAGGAAATTCTGGATGAGGCCCATTGTGTTGTATACTAGAGCTGAGTGGAAAGAGTTTTCCCATTCTATGAAAATGTTGAAGACATCAAAAGACTTTCTCAGTCCAAGGTGGAGCACAACTCCCTTTCCTCCCCACCCCCCACCAGTATATCAGAAAAAATAGAAAATTGAAATGTTTCAGTTTTTTTGGTTCAGCTAACTCTTTAATTCACATCAGTTATATTTTTAAAACATTTTAATCTAAATTTTCTAGCAATTTTATAACAAGTCCAGCACTATTTTTTCTGAAGAATGATCTGACTGGGCAGATTCAGCAAGCCGTTTCAAGAAGAGGTTCAGTTTTGACAAGGTGGCCCATTTGCTTAATTATAGAAAAAGTTTTCCTCCAAAAAAAAATCCCCATTAACTCAATAGTTCATGTTGGTATCTAGAAGAAGCCCACAGTATGATACTAATTCTGGGACAAACTGCATATTTTTTCTTCCTGTGTCATCTAGGATGTTTCATAGATTTTGGGGTCGGAATGGGACCTATTAGATCATCGAATCCGATCCCCTGACCTGGGCAGGGAAAAGCCAGGTGTTTGCTCAGTCTCCTCTTCAATACCTCCAGGGAAGGGGACAGCACCACCTCCCTTGGAAGCTTATTCCGTATTTTGGCAACCCTCATTATAAAGAATGTTTTCCTGATATCCAATCTAAATTTGCTCTCCTTCAGTTTGTGGCCATTGTTTCTAGTTACCCCGAGGGGCACCCTGGGAAACATTGTATCCCCTATTCCCTGCTGTCCCCACCTGATGAGTTTGTAGATGGCCACAAGATCACCTCTCAGCCTTCTCTTGTGGAGGCTGAAGAGATTCAAGTCCCTCAATTGGTTCTCATAGGGTTTTTTTCTCTAGGCCTTTAACCAGATGGGTGGCCCTCCTCTGAACCCTTTCCAGCTTATATACATCCCTCTTGAAATGCGGCACCCAAAATTGGATGCAGTACTTCAGCTGCGGCCTTACCAATGCCACATAGAGGGGTAGTGTCACCTCCCTAGACTTGTTTGTGATACGCCTACATATGCAAGAAAGAGTGCAGTTAGCTTTACTTATTACTTCATCACATTGGCCATGTTGTTGCATCCCATAGGGATCAAGCCACCCAGCAAAAATGGGAGCATTCCCATTGCTCCCAGTGATATGCCTCCACAGAAGCTCTACTACCTTCAAGCTTTCCATACGGTGTTTTGGTCAAAGTTGCAGTGGGAGTGTCCTAAAACAATCTTTTCTGCATCCCAGACCATGTTCTCTCATCAACCAATGCAATCCATTTTGGACACTTTGCTGAATAATTACAAGATTGCCTGGCACTAGCTTCCTTAAGCTACCCTAGTCCTCCCTGAGCAAATGCTCTAGTTAGGGGACATGGAGTGAAAGCCATATCGGCTTCCTTCAGCTGATACCTTGGAGCAGAACTAATCCTGTTTTATAGAAAAAAAAATACAAGTTGCATTAAGAGCTGCTCAGATGCTGTCCCTTCTGTAGCACAGTGTGTGTGACAAGGCACTGTTAAATATTACCCAGCAGTTTAGGGCAGGAAATGAAGCATTATTTTATCCAAATTATATATATGTATATGTATATTAGGGGAAAGCCTATACCTTAACGAGGTTATTTCATTGCTGTTCAATCATTCTCAATGCAGCAGTACAGAATCCTGAGGTTCA